TATTATATATTAATTGAATTTCTGAACTAAGGAATAAGACTTTTTTTTTTGAAATGAAAAAAAAAGAAGAATTAACAACAATTTCAAATTATTGGACAGGAAAAAAAGAAAGAAAAAAAAAAGTGAAGAGATAAGAAAAAAAAAAAAAAAGTTACCAGCTAAACGTAAAGCGGACATTCGTTGAAATTCCGGCTCCTGTAACCATTTTGCCATACGTCTAAATGTTTCACGACCACTCTTAAGCTTTGACCATGGTTTTGGATTCCTCAGCAAATCCGAAAGCGTTCCCTGTGACCTCAAAAGATAATAGTTAGGGGATGCATTAAATTTATCTACGCTTACATTGAAACTATAATTTGAAATTTTTCTTTCAATCATCTTCGTTTTTACATTTAGCCAAAAAAGTAACATAATAAAAGTATACTGCTAGAATAGACATGAAAGATGAATGAAAGAATGCTAATAGCACGAAAATAAATGCATGAAGGGAATTTTCCAACAAATTATAACACTCAACATCAACATTGCTGCTCTTTTTTGTTTTTCTTCTTATGCCTATCTGTATTAGAGAGCTAAAAATGATTAGTAATCTCGAAAAGGATGATATGATATGTATTTATGAAGTTTATGCAGATATGGAAGGATTCTGAATGCAAAGTATAGATAGTTGTATATTAAGAGAAGATTCTGAATGAAGAAACGTTCGAGATGACACATTATTTAGCTTTTCGTGCATTGTTCCTAAAAATCCTGACAATTTCCTTTATTGTAGAAGTCATTTTTTTTTTTTTTTGTTTCAAGATGAGATGATATAAATATGAGTGTAATTCTAATTAAGAAGAAGAATTAGAGATATACGATTTGAGTTTCGCATATAAAGACTAATTAATAGATACCTTAAAATTGGAAAAAGAATGAAGAATATGATTATATTCTTAAAAGAGAAATGAATTAATATGGCTATACTTTAATGAAATAGATTAGTCATCGAATTAAAATGAATGATTTGACTGATACATGCTAGCTTAGCATCGTGCAAAAATTTTTTCATAAATTTCATCCTATAATATATCCATATTCCATGTCAAATAGCCTATCATCATTTAAAGGATGTATTGTAATGAGTGATAAAAAAATCGTTGATAATATATTATATATATTCCAAATAACTTTATTAATGATAGAAAGAAAAAGGAATTGATAAGAAACCTGCATAAAACACGTTGTGCAAAGATTGCTTGAGGAATTGAATATCGTTTAAGTTCAGCAGAAATCCGTTGTGCAAGATCTTTTGTATTCAGCTCATCCATATCACTACCAGAATCCGGTGATCCAGCATGTGATATTGTATCAGC